TTCGGCGAAGCGCCTGCATAGCCTGTCGTTTCAATAGATAGGCTCCACCAGGTTAATAGAATTTTGATTGATTGATTTGATTGATTGATTCCCTGCATCGACACCCGTCACTTCTCCGCATCCACGGAGCTGAGGATTGTGAGATGGCCGAGAGAATAGGGGTTGGTTGCATTTGTCTCTGTTGCGACCACGTCACCGACGGCGGGGTTGAGCGACGATCATCGGAAGAGCAGCTCATCTCCCTCTCGTTCCCGCCGTCAACAATACCTAGTCTATCTTGGACTGTTCCATTCGAAAATTTGGAAACAGTTAACGCATTTGCCGTCCACAGCATGCCCGCTTACCCCCGACCCGATTTCCACCGGCTCTCACTCAACTGGACCTCCCTAGACGGTCCCTGGGACTTCATCTTTGACGACGTGGACGTCGGCCTGTCGCAGCGCTGGCACCAGAACGGAATCCCCGCGAACGTCTCCGAGCAATCGAAGCGCCAGATCCAAGTCCCGTATGCCTTTCAAACCCCTGCGTCGGGAATAGCCCTCTACGAGGCCCACGAGGTGCTCTGGTATGAGCGCGCCATCAACGATATCCGCACGCCCGATGAACGCGCCGCCAGTCACCGATTGCTCCTTCGCTTCGGCGCCGTGGATTACGACTGTACCGTTTGGGTCGATGGGCGCGCATTCGGAGGACACCGTGGGGGCCATGTTCCTTTCGACGTCGACGTGACCGATGCGTTTGCGACCGCTGACGAGGCATCTCGGCGATTGACGCTGCGGTTGAAGGACTCCACGTATGACCTCACTCAGCCGCGCGGAAAGCAGTACTGGGGTCCCGTGCCGCAGGAGATCTTCTACACACCTTCTAGTGGGATCTGGCAGTCGGTTTGGCTGGAAAGTGTGCCTCGTTGGAGACTGGGGAATAGCAGCGAAGGGACGGTGTTGCGGTCGGATGATATCGATGCCGGACGGCTTCATGCGCGTGTGGCTGTAGTCGGTCGTCCGGCTTTGAACGAGGGATCGGTAGAGATTGAAGTCACATTGGCCGGCGTCGCGGTGAGTAAAAACATTGTGAATCTGCCCCGCGAGAAGGACTGGGTGAGTTTAGACGTCGAGATGCGTGTTCCCGACGCCAGCACACTGCAGACCCGCGCGCCTTTCAACGTCTCTGGAAGTTGGCGCAACGGCGTCGCTCTGTGGGCTCCGGAGCATCCGATCCTCTACGATGTGACGATCCGCTTGTACGACGCTCAAAGCAATCTGCTCGACGAAGTTCGAACCACCGCCGGTATGCGCCGCGTTTCCTGGCAGTCCGGAGACGGCACCTTCCGATTGAACGACAAACCGATTTTCCAAACCCTTGTGCTCGACCAGGGATATTGGCCTGAAACCGGCCTGACCCCTCCGTCGCAAGAAGCGCTGCGAGCAGACATTGAAATGGCGTTGAGAATGGGCATCAATGGTTGTCGGAAGCACCAGAAAGTCGAAGACCCGGTCTTCTACTACTGGGCCGATCGACTGGGATTCTTGGTCTGGGGCGAGATTGCGAACGCCTACGAGTTCAGCGACGAGTACATATCTCGTTATAACAGTGAGTGGACGGAGGCCGTGAAGAGAGACATCAACCATCCCAGCATCGTGGCTTGGACGCCCTTCAACGAAAGCTGGGCCTACACCTCGTTGAAGGATAACATTGAACAGCGGAACCACATCCGCTCGGTATATTACTTGACCAAGTGAGATTCTGTTCCTTCTCTTCTTAGTCGATCATCGCTTACCATGGAATAGAGCCCTAGACCCAACTCGCCCTATCAACGACAACTGCGGCTGGGAACACGTCCAAACCGACCTCACAACCTACCACGACTATTCCGACTTTCCCGCCCTCACCGCAACCAGCGCAGATTTCGAAAACGGTATCCTCGGCCAGAAGTCCAACCGGGAGATGTTCGTCAAGCCAATTACATCGGACTCTGTGGTTTTGGACCCAGGTACGCAGCACAAACCCGGCGCGCCAGTCATCTGCTCAGAGTTCGGCGGTGTCAATATCATTCCGTCCAAGGGCACGGCCGCAGGCGATCGGGATTGGGGCTATACCACAGCCAGCGACCCGGAGGATCTGTTAAGTCGGTTGGAGAAGCTGGTCATGGGCGTTGTGAAGGGCGGGCATGTTTGTGGGATGGTTTATACGCAATTGTAGGTTGCTCTTTCCATCGGTTTGGGATCCAGGCCTTGTGGATGTTGGAGAGAATGCTAATAGAATTTAGGTGTGACATTGAGCAAGAGGTGAATGGGTTCTATTCCTATGATCGGAAGGAGAAGGTGCCGGCTCATAGGGTCAAAGCTATTATGGATGCCGCTCATAAGTACTATTTTGATCATGTAGCACCGAAATAGAGCTTTGTAGTTAGGTTGGCAACATCTGACGCATTGTTCATGATGAGCACTGCTTCTGAATTTCAGATGACATTCCTGTCTTGAACAATAATCTGGCAGAATTTATGTCAAAAATGATGCGAACCTGATGCATGCATATCCACTCACTTGCAATAATATGTTTGATACATTCATCTTTCACGCCGAAACAGTAGCAGTGAAAGATCGCCCTATACTCTACCGCGTTTGACCCAGTCCTAAACAGTAGAGCCTATATTGCTTACTCTGATAATATGATTAGTAGTAGTTTTGTTTTTCGTCCGACGCCGAGATGCCCCGCAACCCTATGACTTTCCTAGGGGTTCTAGGGACGTGTCAAGCTCAAACTATATACATAAATCGAGTACGCATTTCCAGAATACAATCTCGCGTCCGAAAAGTTTACGTAGAGCACTTTCGTTGTCTGTCCTGTCCGTCCGAGATCCAGGTTTTGTAATGGTGACTCAAGATAGCCGTGGTTTGAAGATAGTCAGGTCGGGTGGTAGGAATTGTCGACGTCAGGATTTGAAGCGAATTCTCTAGAACCTCAACTAACTAACTGACTAGACTGCCTTTGGAACGCCCTACCAATGCGCCACCCCGCCAGCGCATATTGTTTACCGTACATAGTCTCTGCGCAAGATTCAGCTGTCCAAGGTACCAATGCTTCACCAGTGCACCTACCTACACTAAGCCCGGAAATGGCATTCGATGTTCCTTTCGGTGTAAGAAAAATCAGTGTTCTACTTTGTGCTCGATTTGGAGTAAGCACTAAGATCCCTGCTGCATACGCTACGGCCAGGTACCCCTCACGTTATTCCCTCGGCGCGTCCTTTACCCCAAGAGCCCCGTGACCACCGGCTCATTTTTATCCACGCGATCTAAGTATCAAACCTCGGGGAAGAGCGCTTTGTTACTGTTGCAATTCGCCATCTATCGATTCAACTGAAGGAATCATTCATTTTCACCATTGCCGGAACCGTGATATTTTCTACACATCCTGAGAAACAGTAATTTCAATTCATTCACATTCACAGTAAGATATTGTTGGCCATCTAACCCGATGGAACATCCTGCACAGAACATTCGTCGTTCAAAAGATAATTCCATGAAAGCACCTGGACGAGGGTGAAAGAACACCTGCAAGAAGGCATAATTACGATATCACTACGAGGCAATGGTGAGTCTAGTTTGATGTATTTGACTTTTTGAATGAAGACGCAAGTACCTGAGTGTACTTTCAAATTTGGCTTTAGTCTTGCTCTATACCTCAGGAATTCCCGTCCGACTGTCATCATACTCCAAGGGCGTATCATGTTTTCTGTCGACATATTCTGTCCAGTATCGGCTATCAAGCTGGATTGTGAATATTGCCGTTACTTCTGTTTCGTGAGAGGTTGGGAAGGGCGTGAGAGAAAATGGGCTACCCCTGCATTAGATTGGGTCATTGGCCCCGTTGTTGGGTTTGATGTCACCCACATAGTTACATCCTGGAGCACCACGGGTCATTCGAGTGGTATTGTAATCCAGCCGAGGTTAGCGAGGCGTTCGCATTGCTACTGTCGGTTGACTTGGTCATTGCCCTAAGCAGATATCCTATCGACTCAACTGAATGTAGGTATATGCTCGGTGGGTAAAAAGTGAAGTGTTATTCTAAACTACTCGCTTCGTTGAAGATATATCAGCTGCCTATGCCAAGGAGTCACATGACTTAGGCATATCAGCTGAATAATGGTTCCAACAGCTACCTTTGCGTGGCGCAAAGGCCTGGATCCTGGTCGTTTCATTGGAGTTGTCCATTACGTAGATCCTTGTTCATGAAAGGTGTACCAGGAAATTCCCATGTGCCTTGGGTCATGAAGATATGTGTCCCATTACCCAATCAACTATCAAGGTATTGAACGTGGCGGTGTTTTCTAGGATACTGCTCCATTAATATGATGTGAGGGGTACGAAGATTTTCGAAGTGAGGACCGATGGGCCGCAAGCGATCCAAGCGCACTGAATGCATTGTAGTGCACGAAATGCGTAGTAGCCATTAATCAGTCGGGAGAAATCCTCCCGTAGCGTGTATTCTATATGCAATGCCAAGACCCGCCGCGGTTAGGGCACGCCGGGGGGCAGCCGAGCTGACGAATCCTCCCCCGGGACTCTCGGCTCTTCTTCGTCGGCTTCTTTCTTGCCGCCTGTATAGGAGTCCTTTGATGCCCTTGTAGTTGGTCTGGTATGTTCCTCTATGGTTTGGTCTGTCAACGCTCACCGAGTCAGTCCTGAGTATTATGCTGATCCCCTCACAGCTCGGGACGATCAGATATGTGATATGGCAACGGAAATCCCCCAAACTACCGCCGCCAGAGCCTCGGAGGAGATCCGCCCTGCCAAGCATCTGCTGCGTACGTGCAGGCGTGGGAATACGTACGCCCTGCAACTACCGCCAGGCACAACTGGGAAAGGATCGTCTCTTCTGCCACAACGCCTCCTGCTTCCCCCACAGCCGCCGACAAACTTCCGCAAATCAGAGCAGATGTATTCCTCATTGCGCAGGTACCAAGCCACCGATGGTTTCTGGATGATGAAGCTTGGCCCACGGAGATTCAGCCCTCTCCGTGATAATAGACTGATAAGGTTAATCAGTTTAATGTTGACGCCTAGCGGGACCACCAATCCACTCAGTCTAATACTCTAAGGCCTTTAAGCCCACGACCAACTTGTTAAACCGGGATAACCTTTCATACTAAGCTTCCTAAGGCTCGGGAAACCCAGCCCAGGCCCCAAATCTGCTTCGCATCTATCATTTTAGAAACTTGCTAACGCCCCTCCGCCGCTGTCCTTAGTGGTCGCGTCGTCATCTGGTGATGATCCCCTTCCTAATCGTGTCTAGAGACCTTCTAACCGATGGAGGGCACCTCGACTCTTTTGCCGGGGATGATACCGTGATGATCAATCTTGACACTCTCATTTGGCGGTCGAGATGGGGCTCGTGGCTTTGCTGAATACGCCAGCCTCTGAGTTTGTTTATTATTAGCTTTTAAGCTTGTTAAGTGTCAGGGAAATTATAGATATAAAAGACCCCTTCCCTTCCAGATATTGTAGTTGATAGCACAAACATCCTCATCATTCATTCTCTCGAATTCAATTCTCTCTCCTTCGCTATAACATCATGGTTCACCTCGCTTCCACTCTTGCTGCTGGTCTAGCTGGTCTGGCCAGCATCGCCTCCGCTCATCCCGGCCATGACCACAAGGCCGAGGCTGCTCAGCGTGCGGCCTTCATGAAGCGCGCTCCCGTTCATTCTCGCAGCCTAGACCAGTGTGCCGACAAGCTCCGCGCTCGTGGTCAGGAGAAGAAGAACATTGCTCGACGTGATCGTATGGTTCAAGAACTTCGTGCCAAGAAGGGCGTGCAAGCTCGTATGTTTACTATCTAGCACATAGCTCACGAGGAAACCAAAAGTCTAATATTATTTCTCCACACAGGTGCCCCCTTCCTCAAGGCCCGTGATCTCGACACTGTCTTGAACACTACCCACCATTCCTCCCTGGATGTCAACCTCTCCACCGACCCCGAGGTTCTCTTCGCTTCCAACGCCACTTGCATCCTCGGCCCCGATGTTACTCAGGGTCCTTACTGTATGTGTCTTCGATCCAGCATTTGTCCTTTTCATACTAACGACATCAGATGTTACCGGCGAAATGATCCGCAGCGACCTCATTGAGGACCAGGAGGGTGTTCCTCTCTACATGGACATCCAGATGATCGACACCAGCACCTGCGAGCCCGTTCCCGAGGTCTACGTTGACTTCTGGCACTGCAACGCCACTGTACGTCTATTTTCTCTATGCCATCCTCAACTCAGCTAATCAAGATCAGGGTGTCTACTCCGGCATCTCCGCCAGCGGCAACGGTAACTCCGACGACACCAACAACCTCGACGCTACCTTCTTGCGCGGTCTGCAGAAAACCGACAAGGACGGTATCCTTCAGTTCAAGACCATCTTCCCCGGTCACTACACTAGCCGTGCTACTCACATCCACGGTAGGCCAACCCCACCCACTCCATCCCCTCCTTAAAAATAACTTACCAGCCGCTAACACTCCGTCTAGTCCTTTCTCACCCCGCCAACGAGACCACCGTCAACCGCAACAACAACACCATCAGCGGCCTCTACACCTCCTCGTCCTCCTACGTCGGCCAGCTCTTCTTCGACCAGGACCTAATTTCCAAGGTCGAGGAGACCGCCCCTTACAACACCAACACCCAGGAATTGACCACCAACGCCGAAGACAGCATCTTGTCCGAGGAGGCCGACACCATCGACCCCTTCGTCGAGTACGTCTTCCTGGGCGACGACGTCTCCGACGGTATCTTCTCCTGGATCTCTTTTGGCTTCGACCCCTCTGCCAGTACCGACGTCACTCCCGCTGCTTACCTGACCGAGGAGGGTGGCATTGAGAACGAGAACGCCGGTATGGGTATGGGCGGTGGTGGCGGTGCCCCTCCCGGCAGCTCCAGCATCCCTTCTGCTTCGGCCTCCACTAGCGCTTAAGTTTGAGACTTGAGGTTGATTGAGGTTTGCTTTTGCATAAAATGTATAGTATTTGCCACTATGATGCTTGATTTTCTGCGATGTCGTCGACTTCCGATTCTGCATTCGTTCGTTTTAGCGAAGTTACTCAGGGGCTAGGTCTCGGGACTTCCATATTAGCAGCTAACCGCTTCGTGGGTGCTAAATCTGTACTCATTAGGTTGTTATAAAAATTTATGATTGAGTTGTTGAACCTACATTTTGCATTCTCATCAAATCCTAGCATGCTATCTTTCAAGCTAAAGGAGTGTACCTAATTGAGGATCTATCCAAACCCCTATTATCGAGCCATGTAAATCTCGTATCTCAAAGCTTCTACAAAAGCCATTCAACCGTAAGACTCACTAAACCACCAGAGTTCTTGAAAAGAAAGAGAGATTAATCGTGAGAAGTTTTCATTGTCACTAAGAGTCTGGATACAACTGTGTCCTCTTATCAACTTGTTCAATCTGAATCCTTTGCTTCTTCCGCCGCTCATTCAAGGTACTCTCTAGGGATAATTCCTGCAGCAGCCATACGCTCAAACGCAATCTTATACGCCTCAGCCGTGTCAATTGACTCGGTGAATCCCCCTGCGCGCGAACGTGATATGTCGTACCAACGATCAAAATCATAATCAACCAACATGTTATGAGTGTGCGCCCAGCCCTGAACATCAATAGGATCTTTACGTAGGGAGAGCTCATCGCAAACGAGGTTCCATGAAGAGCGGTTTAACTTGACAAACTCCTCCATCGACTGCGCCTGGTGCTGCTCCCCGTCGCGGGGGCAGACGCCCGCTAAGCCGAACTGGCGACAAATTCCCGGCCACACGTACGCCCAAGTGATAAGTTCATCTTCATCTGCGACGTTAAACGCTGGTACATTCTCCCGAAGGCTGTCTTTCAACGCGACGTAGATTTCCAGCTGGGATAGGATATCCTGGATCCCAGACCAGATTATCATTAAGTCTCCAGAGGAAGCACTCCAGGCAGCCCGGGCAGCCCGGGCAACTCAGACTATCTGGACAGATGGATCTAGGCTAGAAGACGGGAAAACTGGAGCTGGAATAGCATGGCAAGCCCAGCAAGGCTGCTAGAAGACGAAAACATTCCCAATGGGAAAAGGACAAGAAGTCTTTGATGCAGAGCTCCTAGGAGTCTACCAGGGACTACAGCTGGCGAGAGAGATGGAAAGCCAAGGACCAATCACCATACTACTCGA